GGCTGCGCTCTTCTCCGCAGTGGGTGCTGGCGGAAGCTCCGGGCCGTCCTCTGCCGCCACCGGCCGGCGTCTGCATTTCCGCTCGGCTCCCTGGCGGCGTCCACGCGGCCTGTCGGCCTCACTGACGTCCGGCTGGGGCCACGGCTCCCGGCCCGGGGAGCTGCAGCCCAGCCGGGCCTCTGCGTCGCCCGTGGCGCCCAAAGACACCCGTGCCTGAGCGCGCACTGGACAGTGCTCAATTGCACAGAGTCGGGGCAGCGCTGGGCCGCGGGCAGGGCGGGCACAGAGGCGGCGTCCGAGCAGGGCTGCGCCTGCCCGCAGGGGGCGGGAGGGCGCCAGTGAGGAGCCCGGAAAAGGCGGGAGGCACCGGGTCCGTGTGGACAGGGACCTCGTCGAAGGCGGGGTCAGCCCTCCACCTCAGTCCACTCTGGGGAGGCCGGGTCCGAGGCTGCGGCTTCATGCGGCCGCCTCTGACGCCGGCAGCCGCCCGTGGCCCGCTGGCCACAGAGACCGGCTGCGCGAGTGGCGCGTCCGGCTGGCTGATGATGGGCAGGCACCCTCTGGCGCTGGCCGCAGCCGTGTCCTTCTGGGCTCAGACGGTTGGGCTGTGCCGGTGCCCCTCCCTCCTCCTGCCGCCCGCCCCCACCCGTGGGCCAGGAGCCCAGGGCTGGCGCTGGGTGGTCCAGGGGCTCAGCTTTCACCAGAGCGTCGTGGCCACGGACGCCGGGAGGCTCCAGCAGAGGGCGGCAAAGCCCTGGGCTCAGTGATGTCCAGAGGGCGCCAGCAGGCCCCACCCTATTCTAGTTGCCCTGGCAGGCAAGACCACACTGCCCCCGATTGGCACCCCCACAGGAGCCCTGCTGCCTCTCCAGCCCGCCAGCCCGCCCCGCCCCCACCGCTGCTGCCCCCACTCCTGGGCCACAGCTCTGCAGCCTGGTGGGGGTTGGGGGTCCTGGGGACCCGGCGGGAAGCACCAGCACCGGCCCCTTGCACTGGCCCACATGGTCCACCCACCATGCAAGGCCAGAGGAGCGGACAGCATGTGGCTGGGGGCGCGCTTGTGGGCAGCTGCAGGAGGCCTGCACCTCGGAGGGCACCGTCACCGCAAGAGACGACTGGGCCAGACAGCAGGAGCCGGGGCTCTGGCGGCACCTACCCGTGACAGTCACTTGGGTCACGTCCACAGCGCTGTCCAGCGCCGTGTGGGCTGAGCAGGAGTAGGCGCCCTGGTCCTGCAGGGTGATGTTGGACAGTGTCAGGGTCGCCCCGTCGATGAGGATCCTGCAGGACGGCACTGGGTGAGGACGGTCGTCTCAAGCTGCCCCGCTGCCCTGGCCGGTCCTGGGGGTGGCCAGCCAGTGCCCTGCACCCGTGGTGGGGCCCTCCTGTGCCCCAGCCCTGGCAATTGCGCTCACCCCTAAATCAGCTGCAGAGCATGACTTTCGCTATCGCTGTGTTGCTCACACACGTGCCCAGTTCGTGGTTGGCGCCCCATAAGTTACGGTCAGCTCATAGCGCCTGAG